ATGATTGAAATAGTGTCTCTGTAATGACTGCATGATGGGCATGACAAAAACTACTCCTTTAAAAATCGTTTCGCGTTTGGGCAATGAACGAAAGACTGCAAATGACGAGACTGTTTCGCAAATGTTCCCGATCAGGGGTATTCATGTAGAGTTACTCGTACTTCAGGAAGCCAGCAGAATTGTTACGATTTCTGTTTGTCACAAAAGTTTTTGACGACCCCTGGAACAGAGTGATTACCGGATCCCTCAGGATGTCAGTCGAACACCAGGACGACCTCCAGTCCAATGATCACATTTCTTCATGAAAACCCTCCACGGAGGGGAGGGTTTTCACGAAGAAATGTGATCATTGGCCTTCAAGCACCTCTAACAGCTACATTTCCATAGTTTTCAGTGGAGTGCCTTTAGTAAGCCCTTGATTTCCCTTCAGCTTTTTCTGAAGATCAATCCCTCCCTTCTTCTTGCTAAGTCAATAGTTCATCAGTGGGCGTGGTGAGTTCCAATGATTTCATTCGGCTCGGTCATTCCCAGGCAACTCAAGGAATGTAAACAAGGTTGAGTCGAAACATTGAAGTGATACGAATTCTAGCGCAGTCAAGTCATAGACTGGTTTGTCTCTCGCGAGAGCCACCACTCTTCACTGAAGCGGTCTTTCAAATTGTAACAAAAGTATCAAAAAAGGAGTACCAGCGCAACCGCAGTGACAGCGCATTCTGGTTGAATTAAGGTGATTCGATTCTTTTCCCCATTGGTGAGTGGGGTAGTTGTTTCGGGAACCTACAACTAACTACCCAACGATGACGGTTTTAGACGAGGGCCCTGAGAGTCATTGCCCGAAAACAAAAGACAGGTACTTGGGTAAATTATCAGTTGTTAGTAGTGCGAAGTGTGCCGGGTTGAGAGATGGTGTCAGATTAGCTGCTAATCATAAGAGGCCACTTGAGGAACGGATCTTACAGTTAGATGAGTTACAACCACACGGGCATTCCTCCTAATAACAAAATACCTTTCAGAACCCGAACGAATCGGCCGAAGGACGCATTTCTGATGTATCTGACGCGGGTCGAGGGATTGGCTCAAACGTTACGACTCAGTCGATGCACTGCCAGTAGCCATCTGATCGAAGCGGTTACCTCACCATGTCTTCTTGCTGATGAAAATTTCATGGCATTGAATTCGGAAGTGGTAAGCGAAAACTTGGAATCAGATTTTCATTCATTAGAAAGATAGTACTCCATTAGTAATCTCTCAGCTTCTTACACTTCCTGTTTCCTATTTTTATCAGCACAGCTTTCTAAAACTTCTCAAAAAACAGTCCGCTCTGATTCGAATGGGTGAAATCACTTCAAACGCCAGGCACGCTGTGTTGTGATGATCACTAACGGGGCGTATTTGACCTGAGGGAGGGGTCGTATTTGGTTTGTTGTGGGAGAGGGACCGCCAAAGTTCCATATAACTACTATTTGCGATAGTTCAAAACAGTAGTTGAATGCGGCGACCTCCCGCCCCCCCTCCCGCCCCTTGACACCAAATTCAAAAGCAGAAATTATTTCGGGGACAATTTCGAAAAAACTAGTATGGAGGTCAGGGAAATCTAAAAAATTCTCCTGTTTCACATGGTATAACACCCCTCCCGTCCGCTTGACGAAAAATTCTTGGAGAAACCGGAAATTTCCGGGGGAAAATGGAAAAAGTGGTAGAAAGTTGGGAAAATCTAGGAAAGTGGTGGGTAGCATGGGGAGGGGGGGGGGGGGCAAGGCGCATTTCGCAGGAAATGATCACAACGCGATGGTGTGCCCTACTTCAACCACTGCGTTTCCCTCATTGGTGCATTCCATTTTGCAAGGAAGAGTCCAACAATAAGAAGGGCACATTGCCCACGTGATTCCGACTCACTTCTATTGCGTGGAATGTTTCTTCAAAAAAACTCTTCACCATAAAATCAATTTCTCATTATTAGACTACAAAAGAAGTCTGAAGACCCACTTATTCTACTGTTCAGCTCAGAAATGTAATCAAACGGTTCCGCTTCAGGGTTTTTGTGGACAGGGCGTTCCCGTGTTAATCCTATAAAAAGATAACCATTTGAATGATAATGAAGAGATAGCGGTTCCGCTCAACGAACTACCTGTTACCTTGTTTATCAGCTGGGTTCCAATTAGAAGGGAATATTATTAGATTTCTAGCAAATCATATAGAATAAAGAATATCAATTTGTGCCCCTATTCATAGAACTCTAAAAGTGCGGGTCCCGCTTTCAGTGAAGAAAGCCAAGAATCTGAAAGTCTAGGACTTCTGGGTTCACATTATGCCTTTTAAGTGGATGTTCTGCTTTGAAGCTCAAACTGTACTTCATTTGAAGATACTTCTTACGTTCCCAGCTACTCTGAAAGTGAACTTGCTATAAACCATAGTCTAGCGTTGGACTGTTCAGGCACCACAGCACACCTACACCAAGCTTACGTACGTCACCCAATCGGATTATCACTATTGGCATGAACGCGATTGGTTTGTGATGATCGAGTGGGCGAAATCGATTCCTGCATATCAAGAACTGCCGCTACTGGACAAGGTACAGTACGAGAAGAACTTTTCGTGTCGATATTTTTGGACCATGTGGATTAAATTGGGGCTACCTGGATGACTAGACGGTTTTTAACATGGCTACCTCCCGAGATTGCGCATATTTCTGTTTCACCAGAAATTGTGTATTACTCAGTTGTATTGTACTTTTGCGGTAGCGCCAGTTAAGGGGGGGGGATATATAGCGGTCTACGCCCCATCCCCCGCCACCTTTGACGCCCGACCAGATGTAACCCTCTATGATCCTCCCAATGATGCTGTATCCTTATTCTACTGCTTGAACACACGGTCTTGTTTGTTGCGAATGCTGGAACGTGCCAGGTGGAGGAGGAGGGGGGGAGGGTTGGCGCTGTACCAACTAGGGATCTCTTGCCAGCTTCCACAATTGATGGAGAACAGATTGGCTCCGCGCCAAACTCAGTTCGATGGTACGCCTCAGTATCCGCAGCGAACAAGGCTATCTATGCAACAGAAGGCCACGGAGGCTGTCTGGGCTAGTAGTGCGAAGTGGAATTAAGACACTCATATCAGGGAATTCCATAGATAAATCGAATAATAAATCCGCGCCAAACTCAACCCGCCTGACACGCCCCTTCGTTCGCAGCGAACTAGCCTATACTATGACACGAAATAGCTCTTCCACCACGACATTGAATCGTTTTGTTTTCAGCTGGCTCTTCTACGACACTCTGCTATCACCTATCCAAGCCTTATCCACACTTTTTTCTCTCCTGATCATGGACCTGACACTATCGTCTTTCCAAATGGTGCCTTTTTCGACAGGACCAGTGAGCCACAAAGGTTGGTTTGAAACCTGTTTAGTCCACTGCTTCGGGAGAGAAAAAAGTGTGGATAAGGCTTGGATAGGTGATAGCAGAGAGCCTTTAAAAGCATACAAAAGTACGCCGACATTAACACGAGGGAACGCCCAGTCACAAGTCTCGCCGATGGGTAAGGCAAACAAGTAAACCAAAAATTACACGATCGGTGAATGAGCAGGTGTATTGATAAGGAAATCTTTGTAGCTGTAGTTTACTATGAAAATCATAGAAAATGTCCAGATAAGTGGAAGGACAAGCTCCAGGAAGCCACTGAGAAATTTATTCACTACCGAACATATCTTACCATAAGAGAGGTCTCAGCCGGGACATTCACGATACTGCGTTAGTAGTGGCGTCGCACGCGCGGCATTCGAACCAGAATTTCATTGACTCAACTACTAGATTACCACTACGTGAAAGTTCTACAGCATTTCGAGTAGTACATCAGCCAGTATGCTAGCTTGTTTAGAGTGCTTCGTGTCGCAGTAACGCGGGTTTCCCGAACTGCACCTATACCCGTTCTTTTCTCAATAACAAGAAGTGTCACAATCGCCACCGCTCCCTTCACTCTGAACTACAAATATATAATCTTGTTCACGGTCGCTTTCTTTGGCGATGAATTCTGGTAGCCACTAAAGAGCGGCGAATTTTTCAGACCCGTCGGGTTCAATCGGAAGAAATACCAAATGCTCGATCAGCTGCTGAAACCAATGCGTGAAATGCGAATTGACCTCACCGAGTTCGCCGCCTTCAAGACGATATTCTTTTTGAATCCAGGTATGTTAACATCTTGATCTTTTGTGTCCTCTTAACCAGTAGGAGGTCAACTTAAATTTGAAGAGAGTCACTGCGTTGCCTAGAAGTTCCGGTGACGTTGATAGGGGGGCACGATGTGAAGGCGTAAGCCATACTGAAAGTGTGGCCGTACTTCCACTCACCAAAGACGCTGGAGTTGCTACGCGTAAGATATTGGGAACGTTTTGGATTCCGACTAGAGACCCCAAAATGAACAAGAACGCTTCAAGCCAATACCCACACTTCATGGCCGGTGGAAAGTTAGTATTTTCAGACGCCGACGATGTCAGTTCGGCC